CATCTTTTACGGTTGTGCCTCTGTTATAAAAGAGAAGCAATAAAGTTACTTTCTTACTTACTGTCAACATTTAAAATAATTACTGATTTACCAGTATTTCTGTATACAATTTAAACAGCCATCAATGAACGACAAGATAGGATCTTCGAAGAAATTAATAAAAAGTGCAACAACAGGCCAGAAATAAACTGTAACTTGTCTTGAATTTATAAAATAGGATGTATATCTGCTGGGAAACTTTTTTTCACACTTGTAGATTCTTCAAAATGTATATACCTGTACCGCACTTACCGGTATTCGAATATAAACGTACGCACCGGGGAGTTTAATATTGAAAAGAGTTTTTGAGGGAGCGTTTATTCGAGGGAGGCACTCATTTTTTTTGGGTGTAGAATGGATGCGTATATCCTCAAATTAACACCCCTTAATTTCACTGTAATAATGTAAAATACACTCCATATAAAATGTGTTACTCGTGATCAAGACTTACCGTATTGATCCCAACCATGTTAGAAAAAATGGGATTCTACTAGAGTAGAACATGAATAGAATGTGTTGAGAATGATATTGCTTCCATTAGATTTGATTACAGTCATTAGTGGGGGCCGTGGGTAGGGGGAGACAACGTTTATTTGAGGGAAAAATAAACGCCTTGAGCCATTCATTCGACGAGGGAGCGTTTATTATTCCAAATTAGGCTCTGGAGGGGCGTTTGTTCAAGTGGGTGTTTATTGAAAGCGGGGCGTTTATTTGAATAAATACGGTGTATATACGCACAAATAGGTAAATCATAGAAACAATACTCAAATAAGAACAATAAATGTTTCATTATTTTTTGGCATCCCACACAAATTAATAGTCTTAGATACATGCATTATGATGGAGTGAAACCAAATATACAATTTTAATTTTTATTCGAAATTTTCAGAAATATTACATTGGTGACGCTGGCATGATATTATCTTTAAATACCCGGTTCGTTTTGAATGTCATATCAAAACTCTCATCACCAGTAAAATTACTATAGCGATCTCTTGAAATTTCATATTAACACGCTCATACCAGTATAAGGTCTTTGGTAAAATTACTATAGCGCCCTCTTGCACTAAGAGGATGCAGACCAAAGATCTTATAAACACAAGATAGCGTTCTCCGCGATTTACGCGTAACAAATAGAAGCGTCGGTCAAGGTTCAAAAGTTTCCAATTTAGCAAGAGGGCGTCATTCGTGCGCTATTATACCAAAGAGAAAAAGTAATCAGTTTTGGAAGAGGGCGTCCTATCTGTTGCCATGGATTTGAGATGGTTCCTGTTCTGCTGTTCACAGTACGGTATGGTCATA